CTTTTCTGGAAGCTTTATTACACAGTTATAACTAATGTGTTGCACAAGGCTGTCTGCATTGCTGGTCAGGTGTGCTATGTAGCACCTGAGGGAATGCTTTGGGGTGCAGGCTACATGGGACTCCATCTTCCCATGTGCTGTTTTCTTTCCCAGTAAGTCTCTTGAGTTGCTGCCCCTCAAAATGTTGGTGGTGTCTCTCCATCTAGTGTATTGCAGTGATTGAAGGTCAGGCTTTCAAAGTATTTCTGTATATGTAGCTGAGACAGACCAGCTCTGGCAACTGGTGCTGGCCTTAGAGAGTAGAGTGTTACAATCAGTATTAAAAGATCTGATATTAAATATATATATTTTCATGTATCTATCTATATATCTGATAATAAAAAAAGGGGAGGGAGGGAAGGAAGGAAATAGTTAATGTCCAGAGTGTGGGATCATAGTACTGTCTTTTTTCTGTGAAAAGGGGACAAAGTCTGAAAACAGTCAATGCAGCAAACTTGGCTGAAGTGGGACATCACAGGTATGTTTGAAGCAACACAAGAGTAATGTAAGTGTTCACAAGCAGGAGACAGTATGCATTTGGGCAGGTGTGTACTTCTGACAAAGCCTCTGACAGCTGACCTACTAATTTCATTTTTGCTCCCGCAAAATGGCTATCCCTCTTACAGGGGGAAGGCTAAAGGACCTGGTCATGCAATTGGAGAAGATGAGAAGGGAAGTACGATTCCATGCTGATGTTAACTTGCAAAAATACTTCTTCAGTAGCTGTGGAAGCTTGGTTGGATCTTTTGCATTGTGAGCTAATTCTTTCACATGAATCCCTAAAATGCTGTCACATGCATTAGTCCTTCAGCAGGAAGGGCTCTTGAATTTAAACAAAACCCGCTTAAATGCTTATGGAGAAACATATATGCAAGTTGAGCAATCCTATGTGTTCTGCAAGAGGAAACTGGAGCTCTCCTGAAGTTGAAAATAAACACACAGCCTAATAGTAGATACTTAAATTGCAGCTGATCCCTCTGTAAAGAGGCTCTTCTGTGGTGTTGGGGCCTACAGCAGGAAGGGAGATATTTACAGCAACATTGTACATAGCTCTTTAACCCAGCAGGCTGCCACTTCTAACAGAAAATTTGTTTTTTTTTTTGCCAGCACATTTGTGGTACATGGGTAGACACGGAGAAGGGAAAGGCAGAGTAAATAACTTGTATTTCAAATAAGCCAGAAGAGGAGCACACCTCTGAATGCTTGGATTGCTTTCTGTATGCTTATATCTTCTGTAATTATATGGGTGGTCATATCTTTTTGTATGCAAGTGGTTTGTTTTAGACAAATAGCAATTTAATGTGAAGCTACTTTTCATTCTGATATGGACTGCTGTTTTGGGCCACCCACTACATGACAGGCATTGAGGTGCTGGAGTGTGTCCAAAGAAAGGCAGCAAAGCCTGTGAAAGACCTGGAGCACAAATCCTATGAGGGATGGCTGAGGGGACTGGGGATGTTTAGCCTGGAGAAAAGGAGGCTCAAGGGAGGACCTTACTGCTCTGTACAACTGCCTGAAAGGAGGTTGTCTCAAGGTGGGGATCAGTCTTTTCTCCCTAGTAACAAGGGATAGGATAAGAGGAAACGGCCTCAACCTGTACCAGGGGAGGCTTAGAGTGGAGGTTAGGAACAATTTCTTCACCAAAAGGGTTGTCAAGCATTGGAACAGGCTGCCCAGGGAAGTGGTGGAGTCCCTGTCCCTGGAGGTATTTAAAAGACATGTAGATGTGGCACTTGGGACATGGTTTAGTGATGGATTCAGCAGTGGTTGGGCTCGATGATCTTGTAGGTCTTTTCCAGCCTAAATGATTGTCTGCTCATCCAGGTAATACTTGCAAGCCGTAGTCTTTTACATCCTTTTTGGACTTTGGACAATGGAGCATGGATTGCATGATAATGGAGAGCTGTTGATGACGAGTCTTGCTGAAACAGTTAATTTTTGTCCCTTATAAATACCAACTGATATGCCTGGCTTGTCAGGTATATAAATGATTTATTTTAGCCAGCTTGCTATACTGGGAGGGTGACCATGATTATAAGCCTTTCCTGTTCTCAGGTTGTATTGTGAATTGAAAAGATGAGCCAAAAAACTCAGACTTTATATTATTGTTCCTGAATTTTATATAGTTAAAAGTGAAAAGACTACATGACGTGTGGTGAAATAGGTTGCTAATGTAAAGAAAAGAAGGTTGTGACTTTTCATTGACTCTCGAGTGACTTGCAGATACTCAGTTCAGGTTTGTCTAAAACAACTGGATTTTCCTAAATGTTTTTTGTACTAAAATAGTGCTACAATAATACTGTCAGCTGTTAAATTTTCATCTGGACGTACTGAATCCACCTAGTCAGGAATAACATGCTGTATGCATTTGAGTTGTGTTTGTTGGTCTATCTCTGGAAAGCTTTTATCTCTTAATATCTTGTTTCCTAATCCTGTTGCTCTATCCAGTAACATTTCATAGCTCTGTCCACAGCTGAAAGACTTTGATCTCTACCATGGTAGAAAATTCTGAACTACTTTTCCCACAGATGCAGTTACTGTTACCTCTTTCTGCTTTCCCTGTCTGTTTTTAAGCCCTAAATGTAAAGATGCCTACATAAATTATTGCTAAACTCTACTGTGTAACAAACTTTGAGTGCTGTGTTCGTTTTCAGTGTGCCTTTTGCTGCTTCCAGCCCATTAGCTTATTTTTGTAGCCATTTTTTTTTTCACTTGGTATTCTAGTTTTTGAGCGTGATTGTACTGAAGCAAACTATCTGATCCATAGGATTACTGCTCTTCATCCATCCCAAGTATTTTAAGTAAGTTTATGTTGGCCATAGTGTCTAATTTCAGAGTTATTTTTGTCAGTTTGAGGAGGATTTGTGGAATTATGGCCATGTATTGAACAGTATTTTCCAAAGGATATATCACATCAAGATTCTTGAATATGATTTTACTGGGGAAGGATGGGATTTCTAGCCTTCAAGGCTTGAGAAATTTCCTGTCAGAGTCTGCTGGTGCTTTTTCCCTCCTGCATTTGCAAGTGGAAATGTTCTGAGCAAGGGGGAAGTGTGCGTTGAATTGCTTTTGTCTTAACAGGCAAAATGTCTTAACATCGGGGTTTGTTGCAATGTGCCATGTTAATGGTTCTATCATTTTCCTTTATTTCCTTTTAAAAAAAAGTACTGTTCTCTTAAATTTCTTAAATATAAGGCTAAAGACAAGCTAAAAAGTGCAGTCGATATGGAAGTGCACTCCTATGGTCATTGCTGTTTGTGATGACTCTCACCGGCATTCCAAAACTATGTGTGGATCAGTGCTAGCTGTCAGTTTCCAAAGGGATTCAAGTAATAACGTCAGGGTAATGGAAGAAAATACTCTATAAAAACCGGCTTCAGGCATCTGTATTTCAGATTTTCCCTGATTCCTGCATAAAACAAAAGCACAGATACAGAAATGCAGCAAATAACCTACCATGTCTGAAAGGTCTAATACAGCCTTGAAAAACAGTTGCGAAAAGGATGTGCTTGTCTCTGGCTCCCCACCCTCCTTCCAGGGGAAGAGGGAGAGGCACTTCTTGTCCAAATTAAGAGATGTGATGACTGCCTGTGTGATTGCCACGGTATAGATTCAGCTGCACGAGTTCTCTTTAGGCAAGCAAAAGATTTTCTTTCTTTCAGTAAAGATCCTTTAGCTGTTTGAATCTCCTCTGCTACAGGTTTTAACCTGAGCTGTGTTAAGCTGAGAATGCTTAAAAAGATCTTTGTTTTGTTTCCAGCTGACAGGTTAAACTGGATGTTTTTTGTGGTAGATCATTTGCTGAAATCTCATCCTCTGTGCTGAAGAACTCACTCCTTTAAAAAGAGAAAAACATGGGACACTTCATTTGAATTGCTCTGAAGAACTGTAATGCTTTCAGAGCTATTATGCAAATAAATTGTTTGTTTATGTCTTGAAAAATCACTGTTTATCCCAACCATTTTTAGTAACCGAAGATTCTTGTACTCTTGGCATTTGAAAGGGTAAATATATTTGTATTAGAAGTTGTTGTTGGCTCTGAATTTCTAAACCCCTTTAATGATATGACCAGTGTATAACACGAAACTGTGTGTTTACAGTTGTGTAAACAGAAATGTCTTTCATCAATTTCAGCTGCTGTACCCTGAAGATATCTTCTGTGTTTCATTTTGTGCCTTCTGTACATAGCTCTGTGTGGGTTTGCGTTGTTCCAGGATACATTACAGCATCAGAACGGACAAAAGAGCTTTGCATTCTGCTGAATTCAGGCATCTGGCATTTGCTATTTCTCTTACTCCTCCTTTATGCCATCAGTACCTGTTTAGCTGACAACTTGAGTACATCGTGTTTGCAAAATCATTTGTTTCTCTATGAATTTGAATGCGCTCCCTTGCAGGCAAAATGCATGCACATAAAAAGCCGATGTTGGCTGCTGGGGTTTTACAAGATCAGCTTTAAATGTTGTTCTTTTTTACCGTAGCCTGCCCATGGCAGATAACTCAGAAATCCTGTTTTCACAACCTCTTTTGTTTAGTTAAACTTCCCACTACAGTGATATTTATGACTGCATTAGAAAAAAAGTTATATCCCCCAGAATGGCTGATAAACAGCTGTTTCATAAATGCCTATGATCCATATTGTAATGTTTTTCAGCCTCTAGGCAGGTATTGATTCAAATGTGAATTCATTGTTCTAGCTGCACTAGAGTTAAAAATAGCTTGTGTTAGTGAGCCTAATTCTCGGGCATATAGTCTCAGCTTTTAGCATGTGAGACTTGGTTCATTAAATATTTTTTTTTTCCTGTAAGAATGCAGTTATCTTTAGGCTTTGTTAACAAGAGGCGGTGGCTTCCTAGCGTGTAACAGTGAAGTAATTCATCAAAACTTGGAGTTAGGGTTTTTGTTTCATTTTTTGCCTGTTTGAACAAATTGCCATCTGTGTGAACGTATTTTCCATTGCAGTTGCAGATCGCCTGGGCTGTGACCCTCGAACACGTTTTCAAGTTCCACCAAACACCAAGCAGTGGATTGCTTTACTACAGCGAGGAAACTGTACATTTAGAGAGAAAATACTGCGAGCAGCTTCACATAATGCCTCAGCTGTGGTCATTTACAACAATATATCCAGTGAAGAACCTGTTACAATGACCCATCAAGGTAAATAAAACATAATCTCCTTCACCGTAATTCTTTTCTGCCCAGGTATTCTTTTGCCATATAAACTACTGCTAAAGACATCTTGGAAGTGCACGGATGCTATTTGAAATAGCCTGTTCTCTGATGATGCTTACATGTATGCAATATGGCAAAATAAGCCAGTAATTCTGAAAAGTTATTTTCCTGTAGTGTATATTTTATCCAATGAGGAACACTTTCCTCTGTAGTGGGGATATATGTGTTCCAGAGGGAGGAAATATCTGTAATATCTTAGGAGGACTGTTTCAAACCTTTCTGAAGAAGAGCTAACATATAATGAAAGGCCTAGAATTTTACAAAGCTTCTGAACCTGAAGAATTTTTATAGTAGCATGTCTTCAACTGGCTGTTATGGTGGGAGTTTGAGATGTTAACAGTTATCAGGATCTGGGCTTGCATACTGGTTTTGATGATGGTTTGCAGAGGGTTCTCATACAGGAACCAAAAAAACATTGGGGTTTGGAAAGCAGTCGTCTCTTAAGTTGTCTAGAATTAGAGTATTGCTGCTCTAGAATGGTGATGAAAATCTGAATTTCTACAGATTTCTACTTTTTTAGGGCTGTGTAAAATTTCTCAGTTACTAGTGTGTTACTTTAGCTGGTGGAAATCATACATGAATATTTTCCTTGGTTAAAAATGATGTTCACAATTCTGGTAACTATTCTTTTCGATTTCCCAGAAGGTTTTTTTCAGTTTGGAATTATTTAGCTTAATCAGAAAAGGCATATTTCTATATTTGATGGCTGGCTGATTTTATTTTATTAGAATACTTTCCTTTTTCTGTTAAGCTTAGGGCATTGCTTGGAAACTGGAATTCCCTAATTGTTTCTCTGCATATTGTCACACAGTTAGAATTGAATTCTTTTACTAAAGAACTGCTGTTTGCTTCTTTCTCTCCTTTTTTTTTTTTTTTTTTTTTTACAAGAGAAATGTCTTGTGGCTTCTTCTGGTTTAGTGGGGTTTGACCTTCCCAATTTTGTGCACCACAGGAATTTTTCAGGGAGATTTTGACCTCTGTTTGGCAATTCAAAGGCTGTTGACAATCCAGTTTTATCTTAGGTACCTTCCTAGGACATTTTTGCAAGTAGTCTACAGACAAAAAGTCCCATGTTCTCTTGAAACACTTCTTACCATCTTCTTTTTGTGGTTTTTGACGCTTCTCTCTCTACTGAGGTAACACTTTCCTAAGCCTTCAGCTCTGGTCTCTCTTTGAGGTAAATTCCTGTATGATTGTAAGGTCTGCAGTCTCTGTTTAGCAATGATCTCCGACTTCTTCTGTGGCCTGGTATACCTTACTATGGCAGGAAAAAAAAAAAGACTATGAATAACACTACAGTTCTATCATTGTTTGCCCTGTTACATGTTCAATTATATAAAGGGTTTAATTATAACTTCAATACCTTCTTTCTTGTAATGCTGTTAGATTTGGCAGGTGCTTTCATAGCAGTGGGATGGTGTCTGTCTTTTATTAGGAAATCGTAGTTCACTCAAGTTCTGACTGATGTGTTGCCTTTGAAACTCTATCAATAGGTACAGTGGTTCTGGTAGGTTGAAATAATGTCTAAGGTTATAAAATGTGAGAGATGCTGTGGATAAAATGATGTCTTGTAAGCCAGCCAGGCAACTGTTTCAATCTTTGATACTTGGAGAAAAGCCAAAACTGTCTTCAGCATGTTGACTTCAAAATACTTATTCATGGCAAGCTTTAAAAAAACATAATTAGTAGAGCTGATGTATCAGTATTTGAGATACTGATGTTTAGCTGCAAGTACTCAGTCCCTGGTATACTCTTATCACTGATTTGGGCTGTAGTCACTCTCTCAAAATTAATATTTGATTTGAAGTGTTCAAACTGTGTGACAGACTAAAAGTAATTATCTAGAAATGAAGTACCACCGTAGTACCACACTGTAATGAAGAGCAATGTCATTCCACAGCTTTTGTTTTGATTGCATTATGGTCGTGTGAGGGATCTCCTAAGCATTCTGTGCTTTGCTGAGCTTTCTATAAATAACTTCCTGTTTGCTTGATGTAGGAACTGCAAGTCTGTGTAACTGAGATGTAGATTAGTCCTTCTTTGGTGTTAGCCTCAGTACAGGGAGGGTTTGGAATCCCACGTTATCCTCAGTGAGAATTATTCCAAGTGCAATATAGTTTGACAAACGTGCGTAAAGCAGGCTTACATACGTTCACAGCGCTCTCTGGTCTTCATTTTTCTGCAGTTTCAACCATATCACTCCTTGTACGCTTATTAGGTGGTGAATGACCACATCATCTGCTACTTTGAGATTCTGGTGTGCTACATCTCTTTAGGATTTTCTGTTCCTAAAGGTGGGAAGGAATTGATGCTGTGTATCTAATAGTTGTTTTGCTGCTAATTCATTTAAATAGGTGTTAAGTAAGGTTGATACAAAGTGAAGATGAAGGTGAGCCACCAAGCTAGTCTTGCTTCCGCAAGATACCTAGTGCTGTGCAGTATTCCTCGTTTTCTTTTAAAAATGCATTCTTCACAAGACAATTCTGCAGCTGTATTATGATGACCAGGTTCACAGCTCTACATTTTCTTTCCATAGACAGGTGAAAATGGACCTTGTGTCATTTTATATCACTGCAATGTAATTTTTATACTGCTGTGTAGCAAGCCTGGTGAAGCAGAAAGGAAAGTGGCAACTGCTGGTAATGCATGCTCTGTGAACTGCACACTTTCCTACTTTGGTATTTGCATGAATTCCAGTCATCTGCTTAGGCAATGTTTGCGCTAAAAAGTAAGTAAAATATTAGATAGATTTTTGTGTTGTCCACCTACAGAGAGGTCATTACCTATGAGAAGAGCTCAGGAAGCACTTCTCACCTATGGGATTAGTATTTTATCCAAGTTATTTTATGGTTGCACACACATTTGAAAATTCTAATCTTATGGAAATTTGTTCGGGCTCAACGTATTAAGTAGCAGAATATAAATGCCTTCTGGTGGCTGGATAAGAGCTGTTGCTCTTGAATCAGTCTATCATCACTATGTCATATGAACAGTTTCTAGTGCTGTATCAGAAATTGCCTTTTCTTATGTGATAGTCCACTAAATCTCTGCCCCTTTGACTTTGAGTTTTACAGTAGGTATTGATCTTAGGGAGTTGGTGAGCTTTAAAAGCAACAAAAACCTGTTGTTGTTTGCAACATTATTTCCTCTTCTCTGTGTATGTTTATGTATGTATTACTGTGTGCATGTAAAATAAGTTTATTTCACACATTCTCACAGATGTCCTCTAAGCAAAAAACATCTTTCCCAGCATAGGTTATGTTAGGCTATGATATCACTGACAGGATGGCAATTTTATGAGTGGTTTTGCCTGCTAGTTCTGTTAAAGCAGAACGAATAATGCCTAATGTAAATAAAGGGCCTGTGTGGTAGAGAGAATATGTAGTAGCTGTCTCCTTTATAAACAATTATGGGAAGAGGAAGGAAATGCAGGTAATGTGTCTGGTGGAGATAATCCTGTCAAGTACAAAATAGTTAAATTTGATATTGAGTTTATCTGTTAAAATCTATACTTTTATTTGGATTTATAGAAAGTATAAGCCAAAGAAGCCTCTAAATTTAAAATTTCATACTCGGAATTTATGGAACAAATACAGGCAGAAAAATATAAACAAATATAGAAGAGTGTCAAAATGAAGTTGCTGGATTCCAGTTAACTGCTGTTCATCAGTGCTGAAGACATTTCCTGAAGTGTTTAAACAACTTCTAATACAATACCTTTTATTTACCTGGTACAGGTAAATCTTTCAAAGTGTTTTGAACAAGCCGAAGGCATCTCACCAAGGTCAATCTCCTTCAGAAAAACCGATGCCTTCATTTTCTGCAGGGTGTTTGTTTCTTGATGTGCACAGAAGGTGACATTCTGCTGTGGTACTGTGGGAGAGCTGCCCAGCACTAGCTCTCAGAAACAGCTTCCTCATAGGGAGGATTTCTCATAGCCCTGTATTCACTTAAAAAGCACACTAGCACAGAAAGCAAGGTCTATACTAACTTTGAACTATGATAAAACTGAATGTATTTTATGTGGATTATTTTAGGTCACTGGGTCAGAGGCGGGAGGGACAGGAAGGGATTTGGAGGTATTGCCATCTAATGGCTATTCGAGATTCTTGCCCTAATTCAGAGTGGGTAGACTGCGGATAGCAGCAGTTGAAATGCCACTGTCTTGTGGCACTCTCGCTGCATACAGCCAATCTCTTCCTCTGCTGCTTGCCTTTTCCTCACAAATGTCTGTTTATGTAACTCTAATCTGAACTGGTGCATGAAAGCTATGGCACTGCAGATTATTTTGCACAAATGTGTGCTGATGAATATTTCTGCTCTATACCAAATCCACTGCAAAACTTCCCTTGCATTATTGAGATCTACCTTTAATCCACAGCTCAAAATTTTGTGGTATATTGCACTATTGTTGTAACATTTATTAATTTACACTGGCATACTAATGACTCATTTCTCCTTCCTTTTCACTAAAGTTGAAGCTTGAAAAAAGGCAACACAATCAATAGTCTAACCATAGTTTATGTATCCTTGATCACTTTATATTGTTAATGTTTGCTGATTGAAAATATGGTGAACAAGTGTCAACAGCATAAACTTATGCTGTTTTCCCAACTGTTTCTTGGGAGTTCTATCCATCAGGAAAATCTGTCACACAGTAGATGGAGGCATCTGACAACAAGATGGGGAGAGGAGCGTGTTTGAAGCACAGATTCTGGACCATAAGGAAGCACTTGTCTCTTCAAGACAAGCCAGGGAAACCCCTTTACAAAGCTAATATAACCAGTGCCTTGCAGAGGTTCTTACCAGTGTTTCTGTGTGGTACATGCCTCATCCACAACTGAAATAGCAGATAGGCTGATTTTTCCTTAGCCAGCTGAAAGGGTAATTAGTTCTGTGACTGTGAAAAGGCCCATGAGACTGTT